AAAATCTTCAACAACCTTCTTCTAATATGTCAACAATAGTTTTTTTGCCATCAATTTCAGTGCAGCCAGGATTTTCTCTAAAAGGAAAAGATGCTTGAGTTTTGGGTCACTTTGTGCAGTGAGAATGAAAATTACTGTAACTTCCCTTATGGTTCTGACAGCATTCTCTTGTAATGACATTAAAGACAAATGCTTGATAATGCTGCCTTCAGAAATTAGGTAATGCAAATTTAGGAAGAAACCCAGCCCATTCTCCCCCTCCCTCCCATATTACCAGTGTTTGTTGAGTCTGATTTTACTCAAGGGTGGCCAGAGGTTTTAATGAGTTAATCTCATGGGTCTGCCTTGCTATTTAACATGACAGAATTGCAAATCATATCGATAAAAAATCTGCTAAGCTATTTTGAACTGCTCATGGAATGGGACCCTGCTGTGCTGCTTAACAATCATTTTGCCCAGCTCCTCCCCTCTCAGGATCCAGTTATGGATTTGGCCTAACGTTACATCCCCCAGGCCACTAGCCACATTATTTTAATTTAATTTAAGGAAGGCTACAAATAGGTCAGAAGAAACTAAGGGAATTAGCTGTTCAAATCAAAATGAAAATCAGTTGGGAACCATATTCTCAGTCTTTGGAAGCTCTCTCCTAGTCCTTCCACACAGGCCCTCTAGCCTTTGAATCAATTTTCTGAATATCTCTGAATTTTCTTAAAAGTGTTGACATCTTTCAGGTTATGTAATCTGTGCCCAGTAACAGACCTGAGAAGATGCATTCCCTCCATTCTAAAACTCCTAAGTTTTCACTGGTGTAATAGTTTGAAAATCACCAAATTGTCCTTCAGGTTTAAGCTACAAAAACTGAAAACTTGGGGGTTTTTCTGACAAAAATCTGAAAAAACCTCTCACGATAATCTTAGCATTGTGATATAGATCAAAACCAGTTAGTTCCTTTCCTTCCTACCATAGCCCCTCACATTGGTTCTGAAATCAAAGAATTTTGGTTATCTTAGCCTATGTGCTATTTGGCAATCAATTTACAGGAGTAGGATTTTACTGTTGTGCCAATAAACGTGTCTTGTTCATAAATCAAAATAGCTAGATCTTAAATATAGGTTACTGAATCCTGGCACCAAACACAGGGGTAAATGCTGTACATAACATAGGGAAAGCTCAGCAAATTGCTCTTAGGGAAAACAAAACAAACCAAACCACGATCATTTTTGCCTGTGAAAACCTAAAGATGTTTTTCTGTCTAACACTCACAATCTGAACTGCATTGGTTCATTTTGATTGAGTATATGGGTTACATGGTATTATTCTGCTTTCATTCTTTCTGCCGGGTGACCTTGGGATAAGGTTTGTAGGGTGTTAATGTAGAGAGTCTGATTTCTCTGAACACTTTCTCTGAGACAACAGTGTGAAGGCCCAACTCCCTGGCTCTGTGCACAGCAACGTGCCTCCATGTTCACATCATCAAAACCACTGCCCAACCCAAATGCCCTGAAGAGCTGTTGGAGTGGTTCAAGTGCCGAGACGGCGAGAGCTTCCCTGGGTATGAACAGAGCATGACTGGAGTAACCCAGGTGTGTTCTAACCCTGGCAGTACAGCTCCACACACAGACCATGCCAGCCCTCCTGGATCTCTGCTTATGGGCTTGGTAACTACCAGACACTGAAGTTTATAATATGATATTCAGGCAAGCTAGGCTCGAGCCAGCGCGAGTGTGCCTTCCTACATTGCAATCAAGCTTCCTACTGCAGGGTAGATACAGCAGACACTTCAAAAAGACTCTATTTATATTCTGCCCTACTGGTAAATTCATTCGTTGGACCACTCATGCAAAATTGATAATGCAAATGAACCTGCTACATTTGAAATTAAGCTTATTTTTGTACTCCAGTGAACACTAGTGCATTTTATTGGTTTTCTTTTCTTTTTTCTTTTCTTTTTTCTTTAGAATGTTTGCCCAGCTGTTGTCCCCAAAGCACTTGTTTCAGACCTGGGGGAGGATGCCAGAGTAGGCCTCTGCTGAGCCAGAATGGTGCAGGCACTTCAAACCACTGGCTCTTGAGCCCACAGACTCATGACTAGCATTGATCTGGAACGGATGAGTGGCTGGCTGTTTTACAGCATTGCAGCCTTAGAGAAGGCTGCTCTCTCCTCACTGCAGGGTGAGTGATAAATTCATGCAGAGCATGGACAACTGCAGGGGAAGAAATGGAGAGACTCACTGTGAACTCAGGAAGTGACCACTTATCCCTGTGCTCACTCAGTTACACTAATGCACAGATGTCATCTTCGTCTGGGAGGCAGAGTAAATAGATTAACACCTCTGTGTATACTGGATCCCCTTCTCCTCATGCAGGACACAGGGTCTCAGCACTAGTTGTAAGCAAGACAGCAGCGACTCCTCCATCAAAAGTCACTGCATAAACTCAGTACAGGTGAGTGGGGATGCTCTACCCAGACACAAAGCAACACACTCCCTCTCTGACTAGTTCATCCACCGCTACTAACTCTGCTTCAGACTGCCCTACACACATTCCTGTAATTTGCACACATTCTCTTCTCCACTGGGCGAGCGCACCCTACTCACAAGTCTTTTTTAGCTTATCTGGTCATATGCAAAGACCCTAAAAGAGAAGGATACTACCTAGCAGAGGAGATGTAGAGTGGGATAATGTGGGGGAGCAAAGGAGAACACAAGTCTTCAGCAACCCCCCCTCCCAACAGTCCTGCTCCTTCTTTAACTCTGCACAGCAACTTGCCCCTTGCATACACCCAGAGTAAATCTAGTCCAACACTGCTCGTCCCTATAGGAATTAACGCTTTGAGATCACCACTGCTGATCTGTGCAGTAGGGAAAGATTAATGTGAACTTTCAGAGATGGATCATCTATAGGCACTTCAGAGTAAGAGAAGGAAAGAACTCAGTGGGGTTCCAGGGAGCACAACCATTAACTCCCACGCAAAGATAAAGCAGCACTTCTCTTCCCTGCTTCCTTGTTGATTTGTAGCATGCACTGCACCAATGACAAGGGATTACCCTTCTCTCTGCTCCTCTCCTCCATTTGAGGTGGAAAACCTCCTAGTATCATACTGGCTCCGGGAAACTGCTGCTTGGGTCGAGCCCTGTTTGAAAAAAAGACTATCATGTTTGCTCTGCTGGGCTCTGCAATGCATAACAGAGTCTGCATTGCAGTCTCAAACTGCAATCCAACACCATCTGTCCCTTCCACTTGCAGCACTGCATCACTCCAGGGAGTCAGTTCTTCAGGGGGGATCTGGAGAGTGCCTGGCTGTGCTGTCCCCCGGTACCCATGACAGGCAGCAAAAGGGGAAAATGCCCCACTGATTTGTATTGTGAGACCGAGACTAGAAATGGCTGCTCAGTCAAACTGTATGAGAAGCAAGACAGGGAAAAGGTGCTGATTTGCTTTCATTTCAGTATTCTTTAAAACAAATTCTGTACAATCAGCAGCAAATGTACTTAAATCCTCTTCAACCACCTTAGGGAAAGGAACTCAAGTAGCAGCGACAAGCAAGCACAGAGCTCTGCACTGATGTGGCTGCACATAAATCTGTGTGAAGGAGCTACTTTAACAATAGCCTAAGCCACCAACTCGCCTTTCCTGAGCGTTCTCGGATTAGAGGACAGAGAAGCAATGCAACCAAGAGACAAGACAACAGACCTGGAGATATTTCACTGCTCTGCTGTCTCTGACTTACTGAGTCACACTGGGAAGGACACTTTTGCTTTGATTATCTCCATCCCCCTATGCATTCTCTGCCTGCCTGTTCTGTGAAGTAAATTAACCTCATGGTGAATTCTTCAGGGCTGTAGCCATCTCTCCATATACATCTGTACAGCACCTTGCACAACGTCATCCCAGACTGCAACAAGGCATTATGCTCTGCTGTAAGTGAAGCATTCACAAATTATAATGCCACAAAGATGAAGCCTGAAATCTGTAAAGTATGCACCAGCGCTCTCTGAGTCTGATGCTGGGAAGAGGAAACGGTTCAGCTCTATCATGAATTAGTGCTCTGACAGCTTGGTGCAATCTAGCCCTGACTTGCATGGCTGCTTTCCCTTCACATTCCCAAGAGCACACGCTGCATTAGATCATGCTCTGCATCAGGGTCTGCTCCAAAGCAGAGGAAAAAAGTATGGGGAAGATGATGAAATTGCCTTGACCAGCTTTCCTTGTCCTGAAAATATGCTCCTGACATGTGCTCCAGGAACTTTCTCTCTGCCTTGGAGAGCATGGAGACAGGAAAAAATAACTAATTTTCAAGCTACTTGTAAGGTTGTGGCTTCACTCACACAAGTCCTTGCAGCTCACCCTGCGTATTGGAACTCCCCTGGGAACAGCCCAGGGTGCAGGGGTAGCGGGGCTCTTGCTTTTCACCAGACCTTTATGTCTTTAGACAGACCCTGTTTGTCCACAGATTGCTCTTCTTTCCTCCTCCCGTTAACATAATGGCAGAGAATTTAGAAAACAAGGTTATAAATACATCACCGAGCCATTTATTCAAGGGATAAGCATGTAAAAGAAGATGCTTGGGTAAACAAATGCCACAGGATCTAAAGATCAGCTGTCTTTAGACCTTTCCTCGGAGCTGTTTCTGGACCTTTTGGGGCTCTGAGGGGACAAGACCCCTGGTCTGGGTAACTGCTCCAGTCACAGGCAGGTCTATAACTACATACAGGGGGTGTTATAGTGCAGGGGGTCCTCCCAGCCCATGCAGCATCTCCACAGATTATATATATTATGCTCATGAAGCAGCTAGTACAGTCTCAAATGACTAAGCAACAATATGCTGAAGGCCCTCTCAGGAACCTGCTAAAAGCAAAACATTAGACTCAAGACACAATTCTTTAGAATTCACACTGGGATAAAGTAGGAGAATGGGCATTCAAAGAAAGCACTTTTGTGTAATACCAGCATAAGTGAGAAAAGATTTAGGATGCAAGTGCATCACAGCCTCTGCTCACCTCCTCCCACTGATGAATGTAGCGGATGAGCCGGGAGAGCCGCAGCAGCCGCAGGAGGCTGAGGATCTTAGTGAAGCGCACGATGCGCAGTGCCCGGGCTGTCTTGTACACCTCAGAATCAATGCGGGTTTCAACAATCAGGAAGATGTAGTCCACGGGGATGGAGGAGATAAAATCCACCACAAACCAGCTCTTCAGGTACTTCATCTTGATCCTCTGTGGGTCTAGGATGATCTCTGTGTTGTCCTCCACCACAATGCCTGTTCGGAAGTTGAGGACAAGGTCGATGAGGAAGAACGTGTCTGAAACTACATTGAAGACAATCCATGGGGTAGTGTTTTCATCCTTGAAGAAAGTGATGCCCACAGGGATGATGATCAGGTTCCCTACCATCAGGAGCAGCATGGTCAAATCCCAATAAAACCTGGACAGCAAGACAGAGACATGTGAGATCAGCTACAGAGTGGGAGATCGGGAAGCCCAGGTCAACAGAAGCAATGTGCTTTATACATCTCTACGGTCATTCATTCCCTATGCTCTGCTAGTCTGCCTGATGTACTCAGCGTGCACAAGCTGCTAATTAAGTACTTAGTATCATAGGAACACTTATCTTCTGGCTTAGAGGATTCAGAAAGGAATTTCTGGACATGCCCACTTGAAAACTTCGCTTGGGACTTCAGAGCCACCCAAGAAGAGACTGACATACTTGTAGTTACTACAGAGACTGTTAGGTAAAGAGAGCTTGTGAACGAGTATTTGGAAGGCCTCAGAGTTCGTATGCCAATAAAGCCATCTGGGGTTAAAATCATCAGGCTTGCTCCTACTGTCTGCTCCTTCTTTAGGAGTAGCTAGCACTGATAGCATTGGGATCAGGACAGAACTGGAGACTGCTGTGATCCACAGTGTTCAGTTTAGATTTCTTGCTAAGCCAAGCTTACGCTAAGGAGTTGAGGAGCTGTGTATGTCTGGACTTTAGGAGTTTAGTCCATACTCTGTAGAATCCCATGTTGTATAGAAATGATCAATAAAGCTGAGAATCATGTGTCTGGAAATATCTATTTCATTTCTAAAGTAAGCAACGACAACATTTAACTACTGTTCCATGAAGCACAGTCTCCAAGGAGCTTATCTTCACTTTAGTGGCAAGTCAATATTATCCAGTGGGCCTTACAACAACATTTATTTTCATTTGTGAAGGCACACACCATCTGAATATAGTTCCTAATCTCTTTGCTTGGCATTTTTAAAGATATTCCCCAGGTATTACTGTAAAAGATACACAGTCACACAGTGTTGCAACAACTCACTCAGAGTGAGGACTAAAAACTTTCCTGGGTCTCATACTTTGTTGAGCAGTCTCACAAAGGAGCCTCACTGCCCAACACTGTGGTGCTCCAGTTCCCTCCAAATGTTTCACATGTAGAGATGACAATGTGTTGTAGTTTCACATTGCCAAGATTTCATCAGCTCTACATTGTATGCTACAGGACAGCTACTATAATTTGTGAGGTATCATAAATAACTTGTATTAAGATGCACTTGTCATAGCAAATAAGCAAAGTACACAGAGCAAACCAATTATCAGGTTTGGTTGCCTAAGATGCAACATTCAGAAAGCTGCAATGGCTCTTCTAGTCAGTCACACAAATTAGCATGGTGTTTATATTATTTTTAATCTCCTGAGTACCAAGTAAGCCTAACTTCCTAGACCATAAAAAAGGCAACATCAGGTTAACACAATGGAGAGAACTAAGTCTTTCTCAAAACCAATCAACCCAACAGCAGTGAAGCCAACAGAGTGACCCTGGATTTACACAGATGTAATGGAGGAAACTGTTGGATTCGCTGAAGAAGGACATATGCAAGCTGCTTCTCTCAATGTCTGACAGACTACAGTCAAAATCACTGAAATGTTTTAGGAGAAATAGATTTGCCTTAAAGATCCTCAAAATCTAGCTTTGGCAAGAGTTGTTCAGCTTAAGCCCAGGCCTTGGACCAGACTGAGCTGATGCAGAACAGTATCACTACAGTGAGGCAACTACACCGATTCATTAAACTCTCAGCAGGAAAACATAAAGGGCAGAATATGTCTTTAAAGCCTTTTCTGTATAAATTCTCTCTCCCTGTTAAGGACGTGACACTTTAAAGCACCTAAAAGCATATTTAAGATTTCAGCTATTACACAGGTACAGACAGGGTCACAAGCCAGCAGCACACCAGCAATGCTCAGAAACATTCAGCAGAGGCTGATGGGAACTGACTTCGGTATGAGCAGAGTTATCTACTAATGAGGTTTCTAAAAATGTCATCAACTCTCTCTTTCTTGCTCTCAAGGTGCCATGCCCCTGCAGACAAGGTAGCATGCAATCCTTCACTTAGTATAAAGGTACAGTTGGTGCTGGTAGACACTCTGCAATGAGATTTGTCCATATGCTTCTAAGAACAAGGCCGTGTCACACAGTAATATGCATTAATACTGTATAAATCCATGTTGCGGTCTTCCTTATTAAGGGCCTGAGATGATGCTGCAGCTTTCCTAGTCAATTAATCTAGATAATCGCACAATAGCAGGAAGTCTGGAAGCAGTGTGTATATTATTACCGAAAATAAATAACCCCCCAGCCTTCTTTAATTTGCCTTAGGGGATACAGAAGGAGATATGCACAAAGAAAATTATTTTTCTCAAGTTTCAAATTAATGGCATGAGACAGACATGGCCAGACATGCAGAGATGTAAAGGTAAGTGGCTTTCTTCAGAGATCTTTGGATTTCTGTGCCTCTTGCTTTTATGCTGGCTGGTGATTTCAATACTTAGTGGCAACTGGGAACAATGACAACAGCGGCTAGGATGGCTCACAGTTAATCAGATGGTTTCCACACACACAACCCCAGTAAAATGCTCTCTGCCTGACTGTAGCACTTCCTGCTACCCCAGACTCTTAGTCAAGCACGGTCATACCACGCTGAGCTGTCCTGCATCATGATTTACAGCATTTCTTGCTATTCCAGTTCTAGGATCTTCAAACTCACTTCACACATGGTCTTCAGTCCCAGTCTGCTGTTACTGCTGAACTGCCCACAGAGAATCATGGTTTTCAATGTGGGCAAGCAAAGATGAAGTGCTAAAATTCATTGCTACGTGTTTCTTAAACCACAGTTCTCCTCAAGGGTGTACTACTGCCTCAAGATTATTGGCACAGGCTCCCCTTAGTTCTGACCTTTAAAGCCATCACTTACAAAACACAGAAGGTAAACTTTTGTATCCAATGAACCCATGCTAATAAAAGGGTACCCAAGGTGTCTGGGAGGAGATAACCTTCGGACTCTATAATGGAGGCAGAAATAGCTGAAAACCACAAAGAATTTCTTCTGCACACCAATTGTAGCACAGGAAACTCACCACGCTTTACAATGTAAACTGCCTGGAAGTTAAAATTTAACTATTAGGATTCCACAGCTCCTGCATATTTTCATTTTACCCACATGTGATCTGCTCAGGATGGTATCACCAGATTTAGTCTGAATAGACTCTCAGGGGCTGCAACACCTCAGAGGTCTAACATCATCCGTGTGTCATTTTGTATTTACACTGAGTGACATCTTTTCACTCCCTGTAAATTATTGGCCAGAATGACTAACAGTGCATGTGATGTATGTAAGGGCAAGCACCAGCTATTAATAACCTATGTTTTCTGTACTTCTGTTGTTCCTTTCACCCAGGGATTCCACAGAGCTGACAGTGATGAAATTGGCTCTGCTGCACCCATGAGAGGCAGACAGAGTTATTATCCCTGTCTTGCAAATAGAGAAGCCTCATGGCAAAATTAAGAGAATGGGATTTGTCCACAGAAGTCTGAGGCTAAATAAGGGTTAGGACCTGAATTTGATTTTTGAGTCTAACCAAATCTGAACCTATTCATATGGCTTGAAAAAGACTTTAACAGAGATGTATCTCATGGACATCCTCCTCTGATATCCTGTCTTCTTACTTCTCTTCCTGTTTTCAAAAGCCTACATAAAAAATTAATAAATATGAATGTATTGTTTTATTATAGTTGACTCAGAGCAACTGAACAGTTCACAGCACAGGGAACAGCCAGCACTATATAAACCAGATGTATTGTTCAAACGTACTTGTTTTTTATACTACCTCCTACTCTTATGCTTGCTTCTTAGATCTGAAAATCACATTTTAACATGCACCGCTACCTCTGATCTTTTAATTCCTAGTATCTTATTTAGTTGTAACAGAATGTGTCTGAGAATTAGCGTGGCAAAGACACTTCAAGAATATACGCTTTTTAAGCATAGCTGGTGTCAGTCAGTTGATTTGACAGTATGTATGCTTTGTGGGTATTAGTTTGTGGTTTCTGACCAAAAAGTTAGATCATCTTTCTGTTCTGCCTAGTGCATAATGTAACAGCAGGCTAGGAATACTGCTTTTGGATGTCATTTTTTAAATTAAATAAACCTTGATTTTTCAAAACTATTCCATGATGCCATGTAACCAATTATAGTGCATGAGCTCAGGAAGGACTGTGACCAATTGGAAAGAAAATAGTGAATTGCAGAGGTTAGCCCGGTCAGCATCACTGTGTCAGTATGGCATTCAAAACCTGCTCCTTAGCGGGGCACATTTGTGGCCTTAACTTCTGTTCTTGCTCTGTAGCGTTTGCACTGTCAAGAGAAAATAGACTTGAGTAATCTCACCTCCTCTAAATTAACAAAGCTTTTTGGATGTTTTCAGCTTCTGCTGAAAGGCAGCCAACTCAGGGTTGAACTGAGGCGCTGCCTGTAAGTACACAGAAAGGAAGCAAAAATAAAAATGCATCTAACTGAAAATGCCAGGGAGCCAGGATATTCTCACCAGCGATGGAATTTAGCTCAAACACCGTGGCCAACCTTCCTAGCCTTACAAGGACAGATCTATAATGAACCTATCTTCCTAAAACCAAAACCAAAGACAAACCCAATCGCTCTACCAAGCCCAGGCAGCAGCAGCGGCTCAGTGCTGACTCAAGAAACAGTGTCACCTCCTGAGTCACAAATGACATCTCCATCCTCTGCTTTGCATGGGGAGCAACTGCTGCATTATTCCTTTAGAGAGCTGATGAAACTCGGCCCTTTTCTCCAGAGTGGCAGCTCCCTTCCCCCGCTCCGGATTGCATGTTGAATTACACACTGCCGTGCTCACCAGCAACTATCCTGACAGGAAGGAGGTCGCACTTTAATTCCCAGGACTGCTGGTCAGGCTAGAAATAGAAATCATCTTTTGTAAAGAGCATTAGTGGATGTCAGTGTGGCTGGAGCAGCAACGGTGGGAGGAAAGTTTAGTCCAAAAAGCAGCCATTCACATAGGTATCTGAACACAGAGGAGAGAGAAAGAGAAAAAGCAAGAAAAGATCCTTTCCTGTCTTTGGAAGC